CTTTCAGTCTGCTCAAAGTCGGTGCCGAAGGGACCTCCATGTGTCCTTTTGTCATCCCAGCGCAGCAGAGTTCAGCAGCTTGCGGGCCCAGCAAGAAACCGATCGACTGTGTCATAACCTTTGGCAGATCCGATGCATTCTTCAGCAACCGTCCGATGAAGAGACCTTCGATCAGCTTCTCCAGCTTATACCGCATGCCTCCACCAGCTCGGGACTCCATGTGCTCCTCATCGAGGTTCCCTCGCACAGTTGCCCCACAACAGCCATCACCATATCCACACGCGCCTGGTTTCCAGGATTGGCATCTAACGCCGCCTCTGCGATCTTCTTTAGGGCATCTTCAACATCCATAGCTCAGCAGGTTGGAGGCTATTGCTATTAGGTTGTCTGCCATCGCTAGTAGTAGGTTGGAGGCCATTTGCCAGTAGGTTGGAAGCCATTGCTAGTAGGTTGAAGGCCATCGGCCATCACCAGTAGTAGGTTGGGAGGCCATCGGCCATCACTAGTAGGTTGTTTGCCATCGCTAGGAGGCCATTTGCCAGTAGGTTGGACGCCATCATCGCTAGTAGGTTGGAGGCCATCGGCAATCACTAGTGGTAGGTTGGAAGCCATTGCTAGTAGGTTGGAGGCCATCGGCCATCACTAGGTTGGATGCCATTGCTAGTAGGTTGTCGGCTGGGCCATCCCGTAGGTTGGAAGCCATTGCCAGTAGGTTGGAAGCCATTGCTAGTAGGTTGGAGGCCATCGGCGATCTATTAGGTTGCATGGTCAGCTTTACTGTCCGAGCCGGGCTTTACTGTCCGCTTCGGGGCAATGCCACTCAGAAACCGCAAATTCCCTCGTGTGAAAAAAAGTAATACAATATTTCCTGTTTTTTATTGTTCTGACATGCCAGAAGCGTGCGAAATATTAGGGGGCAGTGGTCGCACGCTTATTCAAAAATGTAGGCCCTGCCGCTTCGCTCGCGAAATTTAACAGTTGGTGTAGGTCATGATTACAAGCCAATGGCATGTGTTTGTCACACGCAGAAAGGTCTGCATCTTATGGAAGTTGGAAGGCGACATCAGCGTTAGCGAAGGGGAAATACCGTCTGAGTTCGGGTGGTGGGAAACTGCGCGCGGGCGCAGGAAGACCTTCTCCATAGTCAGCGTCGCGCGCGTGTACGGCATGCGAAGCAGTTATGTGTTTGTTACATTTGGAGTGTTTGAAGTTTGCAATGCATACTGCGGCGCGTCGAAAAGCGGCATTTGTTGATTTGGAAGAGTGAACGGCGCGTCTTAGCCGGGACACGGACGTTTGATCCCGCAGGCGTAGAAGGGGAGGTCCAGCGAAAGTAGCTTGGGCTAGCAAAGGAGTGAGGATTTTGTGCGCCTATCGATGCACATGCCTGGACTTGAGTGAGTCATGTTCTGGCTCGATCCAAAACACATTTTTCCTTTAAAGGGGCCTTTATTAAGCGATCCAAACACCTTCTTTATTCTTCTCTTCCTTCAACTCTTCGCCTTTCTCACTCAGAGGCCTTGACTTTGGCACCTGCGTGTGTAGATCTTTGGGCCGTGGACCCAGGCTGACTGGATTCGGCCAGGGCTGCCAGCAAGAAGGCGACGTCATGAGTCAGTCAGTAGTATATAGAATTTTTATCTATCTATCTACCTCTATCTCTATCTAGTCTATCAATCTATCAATCTATTTATCTATCTATCTACGTATCTATCTATCTGTCTATCTATCTATCTTTCGGTGCGTGTGGACGCCGCGAGAAGCATCCACTCGACCGAGGACATGGTGCAAGTATTGTTTTTGCATGTTTTTGCTAGGGGGCAGGAGCCCTATGCGGATATGTAGTCAACCTCGCAGGCATCCCCACCGAAACTCAGTCCAAATTCCAGTCCAATTTCAAATTCGTGGACTTGATCTCATGTCACTTTCGGTTCTCTATGGATGTCCTGGGACCTCGTATCCTACATGCGGCTGCGGTCTGCTCTGTACGTGGATCCCTGTTTCCACTCGATTGCTCAATGCCCATTGTCCAAATAGCCTCCAAAGCCCTTCTCGGCGTCCATTACATCACTCGCATCACCAGACCCCATTTTCACTGCTTGTCTCACCCCACCCCCTTAACTCACTTCGTTCGCTCAAAAAGCTCAAGCCTAGCCTATCGGCTGGCTTTCGTAATAAAATATGACTTAGTATCAATGCTGAGCATCACTCTGTACCATGATCATGCACTGACCAGCTAGACTTCCCCAATTTCAGAACGAACGAAATAGAGGATGATCTCCAAGTTTGGGGCTGGATCGGCTCCCACACCTGGCATGGCGGAAGGAATATGAAGAAATGCAAATATTCAAAGACTTGCGTGGGTAACAGGTGCTAGCTGCTAGCTCGGCTGGCTCGCAACAAAACAAAACACATCCCGCAACTGGGAGTCTTCGTAGAAACTCAGAGCCTGCAGCAGCTGAAGGGCGGGAAGCTGGTATGCTCTCCATTGCCTCTCCGGTCCGCACTCGTGCCAAACAGGACAGCAATCTGTGGAAAGGAAAATGCAATTCAGTAAGCGCGTTTCCAGGGTACTCTCCGGTTTCTGGACTTCTGAAATTGTGCAGAGTTTGGCTAAAGCTTCATATTTAAACGGCTCCGTCACTTACTAAATCTTCCGCTTGAATATCTACCTTGCGAGAGTCCATACTAAAACCCCATTGAAGTATGCAGCCAACAAACATTCTCCAGTTGCCCAATACTGCAGACTCAACTAATCTGTGTCACATCACTAGCGGAATCATGCGGAATCGATCCCAAATGACCTCAGGCATCTCTGCAATGTCAGCTGCGAGCAGGTGTTGTAGCTGGCTGTGTCGTTCTTGTAGCGGCTAGTCACTGTGGGCACAATGCTTCTTTGGCTAGCGGCTAAAGGATGCGATTTGAACAGTGTGAGAACAGTCGAGCGGCTCCTTTGGGGTTCAGCTTGAGTTGTTCCAGATATGTGAGCAGATCGAAGACTTCACTCTTTGGAATGGGTTTTCACAGTTACATGATTTGTGCCGGTAGAACATCTTGCGGCTTGGTAGCATGCAGAGTCTGGATAAAATGCGGTGCCAAAGAGACAAGGCCGATACTGCTTAATAAGTATTATGTATATATATATATACCGTATACATATACCAAAGGCAAATCACTGGCAAAGGAATCACAACAAATCCATACAAATCCCATCTATACGGATCAATGCAACGAAGCTGTCCACAGGCTGCAAAAATTGAAGCTCTAGCAAAGCCCACTACCTTTTTCTGAAAACCAGAACCTCTTGGAAGCCAAGCTGCGCCAAGTGCCCAATGCAAAAAAGGGGGAACTGATCTGAATGATTCAAGCTTATGTAAATGGCGACTTGATTGTCAACATGAGGCAAGTCTACTGCTTGTTGCAGAACCACGCGAGCTGCCATGATGGAGTCCATCGTGTAGCCAGTTCCTAATCCCTTGTTGGCAGTTAGAAAGCTCAAGTAAGTTCATAGCCAGTTTTTCTTGGCAACCGGAAAATATCATTGGACACCGTCGCTAAAATGCGGCTTCTGTCATTATCAGGGCATGCGCAGCCAGCGACTCTGCAGTGTTGCTGTCGCGTCGCACATGGAAAAGTGCCCAGAGAATGAAAGACCTGGCACTTGCACCCGCAACAGACACACTCTGACAATTGTATTCAGTTAACTCAGTTACCACGATGGGAAGAAAGGCGAAGAACGGCAAGGTGGAAAAGTCGGCGCAAATGTATTGTTGAAAATTGTTTCCAAGTGGTCGCAAAATCGATCTGTACAGGTGATGCGGTGACGAGCTCAGCTGCGTGGAAAAGGTTTATGGGAGGAAACATGCAACCACCATGAATCAAACAAGGCGGATTGGACAGCTTTTGCAAAAGTTGTGGCAGGTACACACCAAAGCGTCCTTTGGTGCTTCCCCTCCAGCGACTTAGCTTCGTTGGGCAAGGTTTGTCGCCGGAGGCCTTGCCCCCCTGCCTGTGAGTCAGTGGTTGAAAAGTGAAAGTTGAAGTGGCGGTAGGAAACCCTTTGCCCAGGGTGGACACACACAGGTCGCCGTTGTCGGCGCTTTTTTCAAAAACCGGTGGCAGGCTTGGCGATTGTGTCCTTTTTGGACATAGAGCCTCACTAGCTCGGCGGCAGCAGCGTCAGCGCTTGAGGGTGGAAAGGTGTATTTGTGAATAGTGTGGAGTCTGGATTGAAGGCCTGACAGAGCCAAGCGCCGGCTCCCGGCTGTGGTGGCATCCCTGATTTTCCACAATTGGGAAGGTTGTATGTAGGTGATGGTGCGGTGTTGGAGGTCAATGTTGAAACCCAGGAGGTGAAAGTCGTCCACAGGTTCCAGTTCCACTGGGTCCCCGAAGAAATTGTGGTGGATGAGGGTTTGAATGGCCGGGTGGCGGAGGAAGTGCTCATTGTGGACAATGAAACGGTTGTCAACGTAGCGGTTGTAAGCAAAGTGCAGGTTCGCGTGTTGAAGTAGGTTGTTGTGGATCTGGTGCCAGGAGTGTTCAATGAGGGTGATGGCGACATTGCATAGGGCTGGAGAGAGTTGGGAGCCAATCCCAGCTCCTCGGATTTGCTTGTAGGTGATATTGCAAGCCCGGAAAATGCAAGTGTTGAGTGCATAAGCAACGATAGTGGTGATGTCAGAGGTCTGGATAGTCTTATGACTTAACGCAACCTGCTAAGACTGTAAATCATTGATTTTTTATTTTTAGGATTTAAATAGGAATAAAATAGAAATCAAAAATAAGAAAAAAATAGACCATGAAGTAAAGAATTGGACACATGAAACACTTGGTACTGGTAGCTGGTAGCTCAGTAGATGAGATCTCTTTGTTCATTTTCCTTCTTCCTGTCTTCCATTGGGGCCCATTATTCTTTCTTTATCAATTATTCTTTCTTGTTCCTTACGTAATTTTATTATTATCTATTTATTTGTCGCTGTTTTTATTTTTTTGTTTATTTTTAGTTATTTTTACTTATTGTTTCTTTCTTATTTATTTGTGTCTTGTTGAATCTTATTCTTTCTGATTCTTTCTTATTGTGTCTTTCCCTGGTGTTTGTTTACTTTCTTTCTTTCTTTCTGTCTTTCTTTCTTTCTTTCTTTCTATTTGTCTTTTTTTCTTTCCGTTTTTTTGAATTATTTTTTTCTTTTTTGGTGTTCTTCTTTGCTGTGTTATGTATGTTTTCTTTCTTATTATTGGTTGCCTTTCTTCTTCATTTGTTTGTTTGGTGTGTTATTCTGTATTTCTTTTGCTCTATTTATTATCCACATTTCTTGTTTATTTGTTCTTTCTGTCTTTCTTCCTCCTTCTTGTGTTTTTCATTTCTTTCTGCTTCCTTCTTCTGTTGGTCTTCCATATTTCAAAGATGTGTTCTTTATTCTTATGTCACTGTCTTTTTCATTCCTTCTGCTGTCTTTCTTATTCTGTGTGTCATTTTGTTTATTCTTCTGTGTGTCTTCTTCTTTCTTTCTTTCTTTCTTGCGTTCTTTCTTTCTTTCTTTCACTATTTCTGTCTTTCTTTCTCTATTTTTTTTTATTCTTCTGCGTTCTTCCTTCTTTTCTGTGTACTTTTTCTTCCTTGTTTCTTTCTTCTTTTTTCCCTATTGTTAATGTCTTTTATTATGCCATGCTATTCAGTTCATTGTCATTATCATTATTACTTATTATATATATATATTTATTTCCTTCTTCTTTCAAACGCATTCATGAAAAGTCATAGTCGAAACACCTTATGAATAACACTCACCAATACTTACCAGTGACTAGTGACTAGTGGCTTCAACATCAATATTTAGCTTTGTTTGGTAGTAGTGAAACAGTTCAGTTTAGTTTAGTGTAGTCAGTTAGTTAGTTAGTTAGTTACAGCTAGTTAGTTAGTATCTGTTAACCGTGTCCAGGTCTAGGTTTTTGTCATGTTGATCCTAGTCAAGTGAAGTCACTCATGATAGTCAACCAGTAACTGTACTAGTAACTAGTAACTAGTATAGTACAGTACAGTAAGTCAGCAGTCCAGGTCATGTACCCATTATATTCCAATTGCTAGCTGCTAGCTGCTAGTTACTAGTTGCTAGTTACTAGTTTCTATTAGTTCTAGTTACGTCGCCAGTCACTCATGCAGATACACATGCCCTGCACACAGTGTACTGCCCACAGTGTCCTGCCCACAGTGCCACAGTGTTTTTTGCTTGCTCGGTATGGCGGTATTGAAAGGCGCTGGCTGGCCATGCAGGTGGTTGACATGAAAGGTCAATGGCTCAATTCAATGAGTTGAGAAGTTGAGAAGAGCACCGAAAACAAACAAAATTGTTTGTAAGTGTGTGGTTCGACCTACCTACCTAATGACTGACTAATTGCTTGATTTGACCAGCAAACCACCTGCAATCCTGCCTTGCCTTTGGCCCCATCCAGATTCCAGCACAGCGTACGCGCAGTACACAGTACACTGAAGGGATTGCAAAACAGAAAAAATGCCACCTGGTCCAGTCAACCTGGTCAAGATTCTATTTCAGTCTGAGTCTCTTTAAGTCTAGTCAAGTCTAAGTCTAGTCACGTCGAGTCACGTCTTGCCTGATGAATTTGAAAATATGAGTGGTGAGTGAGGAAAGCACAAAAAACAACCTGGACATGACCAATGGCCGCGGCCAGTTGACCTGACCAATCTGTACTGTGGCATTGACATTTCTTTACCTGATCATCGAAGAAAGCTTGTCAAGAAGCAAAGGATGGATCAGGTCGGCATTGTACACGCCTCCACTCACTTGCTGATTCAATCGCTCAAGTCCATGACGCACGTTCTGCGTCGCTCCTTTCTGGAATGCAGTCATCATGACTGTCTCACAAAAAAAGGGCCTGCCCACGCTCGATCTTGCTCTTGGCATCTGTCACGAAAGAGTCTAGCCGCTGAACCTCTTCGGAAACTATGGAAGGGCCGGTCATCATGAAGCCAAACTTTGCCAACAGTGATTTGGCACCCTCAAGCTCCTACAAGGTCAGCTGTCAGCTCAAAGTGACTTAGTCAGTCTTAGTTAGTCTTAGTCTTAGTCAGTTATATAGTTCATATAGTCAATATAGTCATTGTCATAGTCATAGTCATAGTCTTAGTGAAATGTATTATTGTAATTAGTGATAGTGACTATGACTATATATATAATATAATATATAATATATTAGTAAATGAGGTGATTTCAGCCTGCTATCTACAGTACTCAGTGTTAATATTCATATGTTGTTGGGTAGGTTGCAAAACAGGTTGCAAAACAAGCCGAAGCCTTGTTGCACATCTCCAATTTGGATTGAACTTGAGCTGCTGGCATACAGAGGATCGATTTCTCTGCAATCTCAATCACTGCTTTCACCTCCATGGCTTCAGTGACATCTTTCTTCCACGACGTAGATTCCTCTGAGTAGCCCTTCGAGATCTTCTTGAACTCTGCCAAGGCCAGATTGAGACTCTCCTTGGCTTTGGCCATCTGGAGCTTGCACATGTCCAACCACAGGTCGCTCTCAAGTTCTTTGTCAAATAGATTGACAAAGCTCAACTCGCCTTTCAAAGTCCCCGGCTGATCGGCTTCTACAAGCCTGGCCTTCTCAAGCTGTTGCCACAACCGCTTGCAAGACAAGAGGATTGATGACAAGAGGTGTCCACTGGCATCCTTCGCAATTCGAGAAGCCGCATCACCATCAGCTGGGATATTTGAAACGAAGTCCCTCAAAGCCATTCCAGTAGTTGCAATTTCAGCCGCAAGAGTCATGTACTGGCTCAATGCGCCAGCCTTGAGCCTTTTGGCAACAATCTCTGCAGCTTTGCTGCCAGCAGTTACCCCGTCGCTGGAATTGGCGTTGACCTGTACCAGGGGCTACCAGGGCAAACAAACAAAACACCTCACTTGTGCCACACACACAAAAAAAAAGAACATGGGGGCACACCTTGAGAAATTGCTGCTGTATCCTGCTACGCACTGTACCTTGATGTCACTAATCTTGAATCTAGAATCTAGACTCTGACTCATCAAGAATCTAGAATCTAGAATCTACAAAGTTGGCATTATAGTATAGTAGTATAGTATAGTATAAGTATAGGTTTAAGTTAAAGGGCAGCCCAATTCCTGGCCTGATGCTTCAAAGCTCTCAATACCACAGGAACCAAGGAAACCATCTTGACGGATTTGTCTTCATCCATGTCCTTCATCTCTGAGACGCAAACGTCCAACTCAGCAAAGCTGAGCGATGCGACATCAAATCCTTCATTGGTGACCTTGGCACAGAATTTGTCAAACTCTTCGGCTGCCAAGCGTGCCTTGTTTCCCTTTGCGAACTCACGAAGCTTCGTCAGCTGCTCGAACATTGCTGTGCTGGATCGAAAAAGCTGAAAGCCATTGGTGAGAATCGCCAACTCCCCAACTCCCACTTGCTGAAGGCTTCCTTCCAACACTTCCATAGCTTTGAACTGAAGCGCCTGAGACAGTAGATCTGTCAGCTTCTGAGTAGAGAGCGGCCTCACAGTTCTTTTGATCTTCTCATAGTTCTGGATGGCTAGGTCCAGCTCATCGAAAGTCACCTGCACAAGGAGTTACTAGTTACTAGTTACCAGTTTACTAGTTAACTAGTTACCATTACTTTGGAGTAGTGAGTAGTTTATTAGTAGTAGGTAACTAGTAACGTGTAAGTAAAACTTAAATCTATAACAGTAAGTTTGGATCGCCCCAACCTCCTGCGCACCATTCTCCTTCTCAAAGGGCACCAGAACCCGGTTCAGCAAGTCC